CACACTAGGGGCACATGGTAACTACAGTGTCCATAAAGCAGCAGCCACATTATTGTCTTTAACTTCGAGCCGGTGAAATGAGAGCGAAATGCCTCGAGGGAGGAGAAGAAAAGGGCAGCCACTAGTTCATGAAGTATGCAATAAAAAGAGTGTCTTTATTAATGACTACATGTGTATATCACAAGACAGGAATAGATGCAGAAAAAAAAAATCCTTGACTGATGAGTGCGAATCAAAGTGTCCCGAATAAAGAACAAGGACCGTAAAGTTCACTGTCAGTGGCTCTGTTGCTTATTCCACTGAGTACATGTGAAACATGGGTTTAGCAGCCATAATAATAGACTCATGTCTGAAAGTTGTCCTGAGGCGCAAAAGCTTCATCACAAAAATACAACTCGACAGTGCAGTCTTATGAAATATATATCAAATGAATCCACTTTGTTAATATGCAGATAACGTTGTCTGTTGTCTGTGCATATAAAATAATCCCTTAAAAAGGGAGTGTGAGGGGAAGAAACACTCAGTCACTGGTGTTAAAAATTTTGGGGTTCTGAGCATGAAGTACCAAATCTGTAGTTCGTCTAATGGCCACTTGAGGCTGTTCTCCAAAAGCGATTCAATTCACCCTGGACACCCATGTTAGAAAATACTTTATAGCTATAGAAAGCACATTTACAGTTTAATACAAGAGTGTGTCTGACTTCTGTGCTTCCTTCTTCACAAAAACTCTGAGTGGGGTTAATTGTTTAATAATATTTGCTAACCTTTGGTTTGAACCTTACTCTCCCAAGTGAAACTTCTGTACTCTTTATCTAAAGCCTTAAAAGGAAAACAATGGACAAACTTGAAGAAACTCAAGAGCCAACTTTAATAAATTGTCCATTAAATACTGGAATTAGGGGTAGCAACTGTGCTAATGGATTTCTGCTACTACCCACTTCCACTAATTGGACTTAATTGGATCTCTCTAATGTTGTTTGCGATTGAATTATCTGAGGAAAAATATGACCTGCTGTGATGTATAGAAGATTGTGGTTTATGAATTAAGTTCGAGTATTTTACTACAGTGTAAATAAATCTATACCGTAGATACATCATAACCATTAACACTGAAGAAACCCTATGCCATTTCCTGACATGCACCTCCATTGCCTCGATGAAGCCCAAAACGCCTTCGATTGGCCTGTTTATGCATTTTCAGCTACTTCTTCTGCTGCCATTTTCAAAAGCGACTGTAAGGTAAGGGATCAACTTGAAGAGAGAAAATCAGCCACCAAATTGGTTTTTGGTGCCAAAATTGCATGAACAGGTATAAATGCTGGCAACTGTATTGGCTACTTGCCTTGGCTCAACACAGAAGTCTAAAATAAGCTTTAGTCTCTTACTTAGGCACCTGTTATCAGATGGCACCTTGCTAACTACACTTGCTAGTGTTAGCTTATAGCTTAGAACTCGTTGTACTCCAAACATGGTAACTTTTGCCGTCAAAATACCAACAAGAACGCTAACACTGCAAAGCTTTTTAACTGCAGAAGGTGGAAATCTAGAAAAACCCATTGCAATTAAACAACAGGGAGACTCCCCTCTCAATTGTTCTTTGCCCCTCCGACCAGTCAGTGCTAGTTTTTGTCTTCAAGTGAGATTTGAACTCTACTCTCCCAAGTGAAAGTTCTGTGCTCTTTATTTAAAGCCTAAAGACAAACCAACAGGAAGATCAGGAATCTATATCCCCCTCAAAACCTTAGCTAGTATATTCTGAAAGGCTACTATATATACAAGATATGTTTTTATGGTAGCCTATATTGTACTACATTACCATTAGTATGTTAGCATGCCAGCTCTCTACACAGTGAACTGCTAGCTAGATTAAAGCAAATTAAAATGGATATACATCACATAAACCTTCATGGAAACGATAGATCACAAAATGATAACAGATATGTGAAGGACTTGGATTTCTTTATCTTTTTTAGCAACAGAAGTCAAAAATTTAAAAACAAGCTAAACTCAGTGATCTGCTGCTTGATGTAAACTGTAAACATTTCCTCATGTCATGATCAGCAGCGGATAGAGAATATACTTGGAGAGTTATTGTGCTATTCCCATATGGTGTATAACTAAACACCAGCCGCTCCTACGCAGTGATGTGCTTCTGCTGCCGCTGCTGTATTCTGTGTATTCAGCAGGCAAACTCAATAACTTGAAAGGGCAACGTGAGGGACAAAGTTCCCTCCCCTCTCCCACTCCAGACTCTCTCTGCGGAGATTATTACAGAGCCCTTTAACGCCGTCTGATGAGCAGTCTCTCAAATCACAGGCTTCACAGGCGAACGAAAGCAGACTTAAAACCTTGACTATAAAGTATTGCCTTGAACACAATTGTCTGATGGAATCGAACAAGATTGAAAACCTAATACGTGTTTAGACGACATTTAATCAAGCGGTGGGGTGGGGGTGTATTCTGAAGGACATTATTTCCAATTTCTTTTAGAAGAAAGTAGCAGCTTGGTCTGTGCAGCTTTCAGATTTAAAAAAATATGAGTTGCGGCTATTCATCTGTGATGCTAACCTCATTTTTGTCCAGCACATTAACTGCAGGTGTCTTCAGACTTCATCTGCTGAGGAGGAAAATTTTAAGGCACATGCACAGTGATATGTCGCACTCAAGTTCTCACTCTGCTCTTGTGACTTAGGATGCAATAATACCTTCATTGTCATCTAGCTAACATGTTATTAACATTTATTCAACACATCTTTTTACCAAAAGCCTGCAGTTAGTAAGTGTGAAGAACTGCAACTAGGGATCACTTCAAGAGGTTTGAGGATCAATCTGAAGGGTCACAAGATGATGAATTTGTGAGGGAAAAAAAAGAAAAATGTGGCTCTGTGCATCAAATTTGGGTCTTTACCATCCAGCTTTTCCTCACATATTTATTTTATCCTGTGAATCTTTGCCTCTTTGAAAACCTGTTCAAAAGAAAGAAATCAAAGACTTCTGGAGGAGAAAATTGCCCTAAATGATAAAGCACTGAGACACTGCTGATTTTAAAGAAATCAGCCACTCTTGAATATCAGATAGTATTTTACTTCATTCATTTATTCAAGTGCAAGATTTTGTGTAGGAAAATAACAATTCTTTTCTCAAGAATCATCATTATATTCAAGCTGTTATGACTGAGGTTCACTACTGGACTCCTGAATGACCCAAACAAAAGTGCTTACAAATCTCCAGAACCAAGCACTGTATATCAAAGTTTCTAGCTTAACAGGATTAACGTGCTGTTTATCTTGTTGGGAGTTGGAAGGTATCAAACTGTGTCAGTTAAATGAATTACTGTGATGTAGTAACAATGCAAACAGATAAATACCCAGTTTTGCATTTTTGTAAATGGTGAAACCTCTAATAAATATTCCACTATATTTAAAAGAAATCGTCAATCGTCAGTCCACTAAATGTTATCGCCACAGGCCAAAGACAGAAAAGTCACCAAGGAAGTAAATGTCACCCCTTAATTGGCCAGACTGGATCCCTCATACCTGAGAAGGTTGCTGGACGAGGATAGTACGCTGTTTATTTGCAGTTTATATATCGGGAACTATTCAACAACACATTTTTGAGAAATATTTGCAGGCAGTGAAGTGAAATATTGGAAACACTGGTTGTTCTCGATTCTGTCATTATTTGGCTGTTTTTGTCCATACCCATGATTCTCTAGTAAAACTAGAATTTTACTAATTAAAACTCAGTTTTAGTTCATATTACTGCTCACCAAGCACTATTATTTGTTGACTGACTTTTAGTGCCAACTGGAAGTTGATGTTAGAGGGAGTGCGGCTTTGCTTGCCCAGAACTCCAGCTGGGCAATCACTGGTTGTGGGCAAGCACTGACTTGGTTTTCCTTGAAAGTCCAAAGACCAATTCTGAGTATATCTCATCAAAAACAATTGTTATTTTGCCCCCAGGTTTATATAATTTTTCTTATTTCAGAAGTTATCTTATACTGGCTACTTCTTGTCTCTTACACTTATTAAGGTACGGTGAAATGCGACATTTAGAGAACATCAGTGCTCATATTTTATTAACATGTTCAGCCTATGATGAGCGCTTGCAAAGGTCACCAGCTGCAAACACTGGAACCACTATTTTAGGTTTAAAAATGCCAGAGAGCGATGACTTTAATATCTAAACTACTGCCAAAGCAAAATTCACCTCAACTGAAAAGTGGAGTCAGATACGTTTACAGCTTTTAAAGTAAGAAATGCAGAACAAAGTGTGCATCAGAGTTTTCATCTAAGGTGATGTCTTCAAATTGTTTTCTCAGACAAACACCTGATAGAAAATAAAGAAGAACAAAAGCTGGAACAATCCACTTTGGGGCTTGTTTTCTTCTTTAAAATTCACTGACATTACTATAAATTGTTCTGTTTTTTTCAGCCCTTGTAGCAAAGAAGCAGATGATCTTTTTCTAGCAAATATTGATGGATAGATGTTTTCAGTAAGCATCTAATGTGAGGCTCCAAAGATCCCTTGAAAAGCATGAATAGTGTTCTAACTGTGATCAAGAGTTTTCTTTTAGCAGTTTGGCGCTAGTCAGACAGTACCTCATTATTAGCTACTTATAACCAGTGTTTAATTATCACAGATGCCAGGAATCACCAGAAGAGAAAAGATTGCTGGCAACGAGACTGGGTGAGACAGACACTGTGTAAGGGCAAAGAGGGAGAGCACAGGAACCCCATTATACAGAAAAGAAAGCCCCTGAAGGTCACTGCCACTCTTTAGAAAACAAGAGAAACATGATTAGGGATTATGGGATGTTTTGGAGCTCTGTTGTTGAAGCTGCTTCCCTGTTGTCCCATCTGATCCTCTCCCCTTTTCCTTTCTTCTTCATTCACTCCCTCCTTCCCTCTGAGTTCTGCCTTTCACGCCTCCTTAACCGTTTTACCCTGAAACATTTGTCATACCTCTATTTTCAATCCTTTCCTCCCATCTGCTCTGCTTTTTGCTCGCCAAATTCATGCTTTGATTTTCTGTTCCTTATTTTTCCCCCCCTCTAACCTCTTTTCGCTGTCTGTGCATCAGGATAAACTCTCTGAGGAAGTGCAGAAACAGCACGACGGCCCAGTAGAGAAGGGCTCCCTGCCGGTGACTCGAGCAGAGCTGGACCCCAGGCTGCTGCTGAATCCTGAACATGATGCCAGCCAAGCAGAAGAGGATAAAGACAAAACCAAGCTCCTGCTGGAGCGCCTCAAGGCCCTGGAGGTACTAACTCGCCACCACGCATTTCTGTTGTCTCTTTAAGTCTCTCCTGCTTTGAATTTTTCCGCTTTCTTTTTCTCTCTGCCTACCTCCTTTTCCTTCTGAGTTTTCTTCATTCGTGCCTCTGTATACTTCTTGCATCCACACTCCTAGCCACCCCTGGCTATCCTTTGTGGCCAGCCCGTCTGACAGTTGTCAGAGTCCTTGCTTGGTTGTGTCTGAAAGCATGACAGCTCATCAAATTCTCCGGTCTCCTTCATTTGGAGAGCAAAGTCATCCTGTGAGAATCGCCGCCGGGGCCTCGGGCTGTACTCCAGCTTTGGTTTGTTTTCCTCTGCGCTTGGGGATTTGAGCTATACTCCGCCACGAGCCAAAGCAGCCAAAGCAGATGCTCAGCCACAGCGATCTACACTGATTGTTTTTTGTGCTGAAGCCACCAGACACATATCTGCTCAGATCTCTTCAGTAATTAAAGTGCCCAGGCTTAATTAAGTTAGGCTTTTAGTCTTCACTGATACACTCCTAAGTGGCTCCACGTGGCTTTTTGGTTTTGGTGTGGTGAAGGGTGCGTGGCACTCAGTCTTACCCCGAGTCATGTCACTCATTTCATATATTATCATCCCAGTGAGTTGATGTCATCCTTTGTTATTTGTCACATGCATACGGCCAGGAGCTGCCCTCTTCTACCTTCTAGTCTGGCTCAGGAGGCTATTATCCTCCGCTGCATCAGTGATAAACAGAGAGCAACACAGATTATCTAGGAGGAAGTGAAGAAGTAGAAGTAGATGTCATGACCATTTCCAAACCCCAGCCAGACACTTTGGTGCCTAAGCTTAACCCAGGGGTCTCAAACTTCCAGCTCCAGAGTCATATGTGTCACATCTCGTTTATCCAATTCCAGCAACTCTTCTAATGACGGCGACAAAAGAATTTAATTATAAAAATGAACAAAGAGGTTTGTTGTTTTGCTTTTTTTTAAAGATAGTTTTCTTCCTGGTGTGCTTGATCTGTGCACTTCAGTTATAATTGAAATGAAATATGTTACTTTTACTGAAGCTATTATGCTATATAGAGCACGCCTGATATAGCATTTTTACAACTGATACCGAGATTTGGTGATTTTAAAAATCTGATATTTTATTTCTTTTAGACACACATTACAGTAAACTAATTTTCCAAACATATGTTATGCGTAATGATTAATCATTATTAAGGTAATATGATAACACAGTTTAAACATGATCTTGTTTTATTGGCACGACTCGTCACTTACTCGTTTATGCTCAGCTTGGATCATCTGGTTATTGTTTGGTTATTGTTGGCTGCAAAGGGAGTGCCCTCTGGTGGACAAACTATGTAACATCAACATTCAACATGGTTGAAGGGTGTTTTTCCTATCCCTGGTTTACTTTTTAAATTTTCATTTATTGGCCTTTATAAATAGCAATTCCAAAATAGCTACGTTCAGTCGATAATATCAGCCCAGCAGATATATATCAGTCATGCTTTAATGCTACATGTTTTATTAATCAAAAGCAGGCTTGAAGTACGCCTTTATATGTCAGTAGGTTTTTTTTTAGTTATTTCAAATATAAAAACTTATTATATATAACAAGTACACAGTATTGCACCTGTTACTTATGTTAATGGTGTAATATGTATTTAGCTGACTTCATTATAACCCCCCACACAGCAGTGTCTCCATACAGCTTGTTTAAGCCAAACCTTGCTAAAAAGTGGCTCTTTTGATAGTAAAGGTTGTTGACCTCTGATATAAACAAACAGCACACATATTAAATAAAAGCAGAGTGAATAAAATTGAAAATAAAAGGCAAGTTGTTAGAAAGCTTGTATAAGAAAATAGTTTTGAGCTCTGGATTAAATGGATGAAGCTTCCACCACCATTCTTGCTTCATTCTGCTGAATTTGGTTGCTGTTTTCTGCCCTTTGCTTCTGCTTCGCTTGGTGGAGCAACTTGCATTTAATGAGGTGGGAATTACCTACTAGATACTACAGAGTACCTTCTACTCAATTTAATGGGTTCAAAACAAGTGCTCACGAACATTTTCGTGTACACAGGCTGATAATAAAACAATCCAAATATTTCAGCAGATGCCATCTAACAAATAAAACAATCCAAATGCGTGTAGGAAAATAAAGATGACACTTTGGTAGCAAGAAAGACACATGAAGGAGAAAGAAGTGAAAAAGTAAAAACAGTCCTCAGAGTGTATTTGATCTTTTCTTCCTTTTGTTTGTTCGTCCCTGAAAGAAAACAGACCCTAATTACAGCAAAGTGGCAGATAATTGCCTGCCTGTTGCTCCTTCAGCGGTGAGTTATCTTCTGAGACTGGCGGAAAGTATGGTCAACCTGTCCCTGCGATCCATCTGGTGAAGCGCATTACAGAGACGCTACATTTTAAACAGCTTTATCAAAAGTTATCTGCCGTTTTTATTCCTTGCTGCTGTGTGGGTGATGGATGCACCCCCAGCTAAAGCAGCAGGAACAAAACAGAGGCAATACATCACTGCCCCTCATTGTGCATAAACTCCACTGGCACTAAGTAAGCACCGCCCGGCTCCTGTTTCTGTTTCTCTTCATTAACTTGGCAGGCACGCGCTGCAGTCTGTAACTGGGGCCTAAATGAATACACATAGCACATTCTGGGAGAAATGGCCACTGGTCATTTTACTGATTAGGTGATAAGGGCATTAAAGCTAAAATTACCCAGGAGTCCACAGCTGACAAACACAACCTGATAAATATTTAGCAAAGACCCAAAAATGAAAGCGTGTGAGCCTGTTGTAAGACGTGTAAGGGTACATACATTATATATGGATTAGTTTGAGTCTCAAGATGTCTGTACTTTACATATTGGTGGATAAACTGGATAAGCTATAGGTTTGTAATTGCAGTAATATTATTTGACAGCATACATATATTCCTATCAGCTATGTAAATTGTTTTGATTTTACCCATGCTAGTTCATTACTAGGAAGCACCAAATGACAGGGAGATAAAGTAGAGTACTAGTTGATGAAGAAAATGACTAAAGAGCTAAAGAGCCAAAGAAATGTTCTCAGAGAATGGTGGAGCCCAAAAATAGAGCATAAAGAAGAGTCTAAACCTTAAATTATTAGGCGGCTAAACAGTGATTAGTGAGAAAAAACTACTGTCAAAAGAAGATTGTACAGTAATTTGAATTTTGCAGTTCTGTTCTGGAACATTCCCACCCTCACATTTACGTGCACTATATGAACTAAAGTGCTGGGCCACCTACACTTCCAGGAGCTGCTCAAGCATAGAAACTGACACCATTAACATGAAGCTCCTGGAGCACAGTTTTTGTGCTGAGGTTAATGCCAGAGGACTTAGCATAGCATTGTTTACGCACTCATTGACTCGGGTCTGTATCTCTATGTAGTCTGCCTTTTCCTGGCTGAGTTCCTTTGGACCTTTAATGCTTCCACTTTCCAGTAACACCACCTACATTTGATTGCGGAATATCTAGGAGTAGGAGTAACGCTCTAATCCAGTTAGCTCTTTAGCATGACCCGTGGCAAGGTTTTTGATTTCAGGTGGGGTTTTTTAAGTCCCATTGCCACAGAGGTATAAAATAAAAGATTAAGCTGTGGAACCCAATAATTTTGTCCCTACAGTGTAGATTGGAAGCATTAAAGGTCCACAGCAGGTCCAGTACAAAGCAGGCATCAATGATAACAGGAATGCCATTTGTTATGTCAGACTTTACTCAGCGTTAAATGGAGAAAATGGGGTTCAGTGGGGTTGCAAAGTGGCTTGCAGATGCAAGTTAAATAGACTTTCATGACTTCTATGGGCAACATTAAAGGTGACTTAACTTCCAAGTTTGAAAAGTGAAGCCAATGCAGTAGTGCCTTAAACCTACATTCTTTTAAATAATCACTAGGGGGCGACAGCTGTGGTTGCAAAAAAAACATCCAATGCTGTAGATGTCTGTGGGAAAACGCCCCTCAGCCCTGACCTGTGTACACACTTTCCAGATGAGTTCATGAGCTCAGTCATTCATTTTGGATTGTATAAATTATTTAAATTAATTAAACACATTTTCTAAATTATGGTCATTCTAAGGATGAGAAGCACATTAAATGTTTCACTGTTAGATGCACCCCTCGCTTGTCACATCTGGTTTCAAAACAGCAGGATGGTAACCGTGACAATATTTCAAACCAGTGGGTGATGTCATGGTAGCTATATCGGTCTTTTGTACTGTCAGTGGTGACTTCAGATGAATCCTGTTTCATTTCTAATGGCAACAAACAGCTTTAAAATGGCCCAAAATAGATTTTTCACATAACATGAACATTATTAAATAATCGAAGGTTTTTAGGTTTTATATTATTTAGGCATTTGCTCTGCCCCAAGTCATGAATAGATTTTAAAGTTCGTTACAAGAATTGTTATTTACACTGACATTATGACTGCAGGTTTGTTGTGGTGTTATAATAATACACTGAACTATGGCAGAATATGATAGTGGGATTACCCGGTTTGACTGAGAAGGTTTATTGTCAAATTTTTAGTGCCTGTTGTGCTGAGTTGTACTATTTTCAATGACAGACTAATCATTTTACCTTGATTCTTGGTCTCAGAAAGCATCATCCATTCCAGTCTCAACACAAAGTTCATTTTCTGCCACCTGCCAAGGATGTGCTCCCGCTTAAGTGTTTTCCCTGGTGTAGACACCTCAGGGCTTTCAGTTCACCGCCATTCATTCTTCTAACAGCGACATAACTTAATACAATGAAATGTTTTTACTATTTTGACATAGTAACCTTGAAATTAAATGCTATATGATTATTTAATATAAAATTTCTGGTGTCTTCTGAGGGGCAGGAATGTAAATAATCCGTCCAAACCGTGCTACCTCACAGACCTAAATGTCACATGCATGTGTTTCCATGTGCAGCCCTGTTGCTAAGAGAGCGGTGCACTTCCAGGTTGCTCATCTCTATAACTACAGCACAAAGAAAGAAGGAAACGAGCACGTCCAGTCGCCAACACTTAAAGACTTGCATGCCACTAAAACAACATAGCAAAACTGGTAGCGCCTCATACTGAAGCTTGAGTTAAAGAAAATGAGCTGCCGTGTAGGCGAAGCTCTGGCTTAAATCATCACATATTTTAAAAAGTCATGCTCATTTCTTTTTGGGTGTGAATAAATGGGAGCTGATTTATTTGTTTTTGTTCTTCTGCAGTTAATGATGGGAATATGAGTCTTTGCTGGCACATTTGAATCATAAATTAAGTTGTGTAACAGTGATAAATACATTGTCAGGGGGATTTCCCAAGCTAAATGCATCTCTTGAAAATAGAAACTAACACATGAAATGCTCGAGCTCTCTTTAATTGCTCAGGCCATTCATTAGATTTGCACTCATAACCACACGTTGCAGGCTTTGAGGCTTTAATTAGTCAGTGTTTCTTCGTAAGACAGCATTGTTGGAGTGTTTTGGGTTGTAATCATGTTTCCCATGTTTTCATCAAGGGATTGGTAGTTTCTAGAAAAGGGCAGAGGGCGAGAGAACCAAAGAGTCTGACAGCTCCTAATATGCTGCCTGCCTCTGACAAATTGGAAACTCCCAAAGATCAATAGGACGCCACCTCATCGCTTGGCAAGCAGAGGAGATATTCTTATTAGGTCCGGGCTCCAAACGGCTAGCTGCCGCCCCAAAGTTCAGCATCATAACTTCCATCCCCTTGACCTTTTTCTCAGTTGCACTTGGTAATTTTTTATTGGCTGTCCTGATTCAAAGTTGACATATGACCTTTGTGAGGGAAGTCTCAGTCTTAGCCGGAGCTACGCTCGATTGCTGCTCCTGTCTCTGTTGTTTTTGTTGCATCAAACATAACTGGAGTGTGTGTTGTTTGCAGGAGGAGAACTCCACCCTGGCCTTAGAGAATGAGAGTCAAAGGGAGCAGTACGAGCGGTGTCTCGACGAGGTGAGTGCACACCTTGTTTATCTTTATTCATTCCAGGCAACATTCAAGGACGTTGAGTGGCTTGTGAGATGTTTTACTTACCTTGAAACTGAATTTGTTTTGACAGAATAAAATAAATTGTATTGTGGACCTGAAGATTAAGGTTTTAATGAGGTCCTGAGCCATGCTATGGTTATCTTACTGCTTGGCAATTTACTCCAGCCACAGCTCGAGGAAGGCTGGAGAGAATTTGTTGATAATGACAATTAATTTTATTTTTCATGCAACTAAATCTTAACGCACACTCTTTTATCTGACATTTTTTTGTCTTTTTTCACATCCTCTGTTTACTTTTAAACTGTTAAGTAACAACACACACACATTTACATAACTCTATACTATCCAGGCTAAATTAATAGAAGATATGATAGTTAATAGCACTTGCCTTTGGAATTTTGTTATGTCTATGTCTGCACTATATGTTAAATAAAGAATCTAAAACTTCACAACTACATGGATACTACTTATTTTCCATACTTTTAGCAGCTGCAGTATGCAGCGCAAGTAGTTGGTAGGCCATCAACAGTATATCTATAGGATGCAAAGACAGGAAGGAAGTCAGGAGTGGGAGAAAGGACATGAGGATAGGCAGTCAGTAGGTGTGACAGATGGGTTCAAATTGGAGGTTGGGATACCTGATAACAATTTTCTAAAATTGAAATTCAAAGACACAACTAGAATTTCACTCATCAAAACTGAAGCATAGACTTCTTTACAGGCTGTCAATACAGTTACTCACACATTAAGCTGTATTATTTGACAACTAGTTGCATAAAAAATACTCCAAAAAGCACCAACACATCAAAGCACAAAGTATCTGAAGTTAAGCCTAGTGGACAGCTAGCAGCTAGGTAGGCACTTAAACAAGGCCAGTTTGCAACAATGTATAATTTTAGCATTATGATAATACCCCATTCTTTCTTTCTTTGGTTTTGTTTTTTCATGCTATAATTCACCAGGAGCTAATGCTAGCTAGTGTGAATAGCATAATACACAACAGAAATGCGGTAATCAGCGCTAAAAATGAAATACAAAGAAACTACTAGAATTTCACTCTTCGAGACTGATGGACTGAAGTACAATTATACACACATTAAACTGTAAAAGGCACTAACACTACAAGCACAGTCACTCAAATTAGCTTAAGCTAAGCTTATCGTACGGCTGTTATAGCATACGGCTGGTATCCATCCCTCTGTAAAGTTCTCATGGAAGCTGAAATTATTTATAGAGCCCAAAATGTTTCTTGCATTAGCCTTTAAACATGTTTATTTCTGCTGTAAAGTTGGTCATTTTAATATGAAAATCTGTGGTGATTGACTAGTACTTGGTGCCAGTCTCAAGTGGCCATTTGAGGTACTGCAGTCTCTTTTGCTCCTTAGCTACTTATTTTTCCTTCTTTTTGTAACTGTAACGTGCAGTTAAGTGCTTGTGATGCAAGTCTGAAATGTCAGCTTGTATGTAGCTTCATCCTGACGTGAACCAGTGTTTGTGCAGAAATAGTTTACATAACAATATCACTTCTGTGCCCTCTGGTTATTTTGTGAGAGCTTGTTAAGCACTGTTTAGGGAGCCACATGAGGGAAATGAAGCAGCCCCGGCTCTGGGCTGTGCCTGCTTGCTGAATTACTCCGGGATGGAGGGAGCGCTGCTAAAGGAAAGCATGTCCAGCAGGGACAAGTCGCCCAATTTGTCCTCAAACCGACAAGCTCAGCAGACTGAGCAGATCTGCCGCAGGGTGGGAAAGACTGGTGAGAGCATAAGGGGAAATAAAAATGAGAGGGGGTGAGGAAGAAGATCGAAAGTGAGCGGTTAAAAAAAAAGAAAAGAAAGTACAGGGAAGCGGGGACATTGTTATACAGAGCTGCATCCTCGATGGATTGCAGCTGGAGTAAACTCAGCCTTCGTCTCCTTTCTGCTTCCCTGCTCTCACTAAGATGGCTCAGCTCGGTTTTGTTGTGTTTATTTGTCAACTGTTTTCCTTTGTGGTTGGCTTTCGGTGGAAGGACGGCTTAGCAATAATCCTGTTTTAATGATGGAGACTGTGTGCGCCCCTCTAACTAGAACAACAGTGTAACAGAAGGGATGATTTTTTTTATGTTACACCAGCTGTCTGTCTGAAATTTTAAAGTCGTTTGTTGTGTTTGTAACTTGTTTCCAGGACGTACAGCGTGCGCAAGTTCACATCCTCTGTCAAACACCATTAACTCCGGTTTGTTTGATCACAAGAGGCAGATCTGTAACTTTGCGGTTCCACAAGCAGGGCTCATTTTGCTATGTTTGCCCCCGTCTCTCTTCGTTCAATAAACGAGAAACGAGGCGCTCGAAAGAGCCGATGGGGCTTCACGGGGTATTAATGAGCAATCAATGGGCAGTAATCGTAGACGCTCCTCCATCGGCGTTGCGGTCTGAAGTGCGAACCGCTCTGAGACCAAGACCCGGGCACAGCAGCACTTAAGTCAGGCACACCTCTGGTACCCTACATCAACCAGGCGCTGTCAATACCACCATTATGCTGTGAGAGCTCAACATTGTCTGCACGAGTGTGTAAAAGAGACACACACACCCAATAGCGGAGGAAAAATGTGCAATGTATTGTGCCACAGCGGTTGCTTGGGCTCATAATAATTCATCCGAGGTGTAAATTGGCTGAGGAAGTACAAACACTCCAAAGTGCAGTGTAAGGGTTTCTATAGAGGCCCGGAAGGGTCATATGAGGTCAAGACTTTATTATGGTGCCAAAGCAGATAAATTATATTCTGTGATGTTTTCTTTTTCTCTTTAAGGTTGCCAATCAAGTCGTGCAGGCGCTTCTAACCCAGAAGGTTTGTTACTTCTTTTTCTCTTAATGCATGCTAATATAAATTAATGGATATACTCTCAGTGTTGTTCTAACTGTCATGTGAATTTTACACTCAGACGATGCTCTTTCTATTTGTCCTCCTGAATCAGGATCTGAGGGAGGAGTGTCTGAAGCTGCGAACAAGGGTTTTCGATCTCGAGCAGCAGAATCGGGCGCTCGGTGTTTTGTTCCAGCAGAAGATCAAGCCGGCCTCGGACCTGCTTCTCCAGGTACGCTGCCCTTCCCAGAACCTACCCTCCTGTCGATACACTATATTGTAGGTGATCAAATGGCAGGAAATGTATCGTTAAACAGCTAAAGAACAAAAAACAAAGAAGAACAGAGTGTGTTCCTCCCCTCAGCTGACCAGACCGGTCGCTGCAGACGGCTGCCCCTCCCTGAGCCTAAGGGAGGTTTCTTCTTGTTAAAAGGGAGTTTTTCCTTCCCACTGTTGCCAAGTGCTTGCTCACAGAGGGTTGTCTAATTGTTGGCCTTTCTCTATATTTTTGTAGAGCCTTTGTCTTTCAATACAAATCACCCTGAGTTGAATGTTGTTCTAATTTGGGGCTATTTAAATAAAAGTGAATTGAAAATACAGAGGAGTTCATGGTCCACTCAGTGACTGTGAGATGTCCAGGTCCTGTGGCTGATGATCAGTTAATCGAGTGCTTTAACCCTCTTAATGTGAAGCAGTAAGGAATGATTTAGTTTGCACAGAGCTGCAGAGAGTCTTGTCATATGCAAGCTTTGCAGGATCATACCGTCCTCAGCTACTCTTTTGCCAGTATACTTTATTTTAGTCTCGCTACTACCACATAAATGTTTAATCCACAAAGTACTGTATATAGATATTTGAACTCAAACATAAGTCTTTGCTCTGGCTTCTCCAATCGAAACAGCCACCTCCTCGGGTTACTGGCAAACTTGAGCAGCAGACTGAATATCATATTATATAGTCAAATTTTATAGTTGTTAATATTATTTATCCTGAAAAAAAATTAAGGTATACATTTTAAAAATTAAGTAGGTCGGTTTGGGGTCCTATAGTTTTAGCCTGAGTTTGCATATCCACACTCAAACATGGTGGAAAGAACTCCTCCAGTAAACGACCCTGAGTGCTTCTCATGCATTTGAAGTTGTTTCCCATTTTTAGTTGTTTTTAAAGAGCTCTGGGGTCATAACCAGAGAAAGAGACTGCTAAAAAAGAAAAGAAAAAACAACCCGTAAACACTTTGATTGTTTACGGGTTGACGTCTTTCTCTCTAAGCTTACATATGTGCCGTTTTAATGTTACTTTTATAGTTTTATGTTGAGGATTCACATGAAATTGGGACTCCCTGCAGCACGGCTTTCTACATTAAAAACTATGTTGGAAGTCTTTAAATGGCAGATACAAACTTAAAACATCTCCTGCCTTCCCCCAAAGTAGAGTGTCTTCCCTGGTGCCCTCTGGAAAACAAATCCCCTCCTCCAAATCAAAATAACACACTTCACATAAGTTCTGAAATGTTTGCAGCGCCAGGGCTATAATCTGCAACTGTCCACATCCCACAAACAACAAAGATTTGAACCCTGTAGCCATCACCAAACATCACTGTACTTATACTCCCCACAAACCCTATATTCTCTCAGCAGGAGTGGGTGTTTTTTTCTCTCCTTTTGGTCCCAATTTACTGAAAAGTGTCCATGTGTCCATCCAGCAGAATCTTTAAGGTGTAATTATGAGGCAAACGGACCTGCGGCTGTGTTTTTACGCAGCTATTGTCAACCATGATACGAAGTCAGAGGGGAATATGATGAGTCCGGAAAGTGGAATGTCACATAAGTGTGGCTCTTTCTGGTCAATATGAAAAAAAACCATATATATATATATATATCAAGACACCAAGAGAAGAAGAGCAGGCTGTCATCATGGAGAAGAGGGAGAAAGAAATTATGGGTAGATAAGGAAAAGGAAGGACATGAGATAGCATTGGGGGGCATTGAGGGCAAAAACAGGAAGTGGTACAAATGCAGAAAATGAATTTAAAAAATGAGGAAAGAGAACTACTGTGGTTGTAGGCGTGTTATAAAGATCCTTTCAAGGTACTTCTGCTGCCATTAGCAGACAGGCAGGAATATTGTTAAGTGAAAGTGCAATATAAAAGGCTGGAAGAAGGATACTGCCGACACCGCAGCAGAAACCAAAGAGGTGCAATCTCACTGAAGAGGTGTATTAAGGCACTCAGGAATATGATAGAGTTTGAGATCAGGTTCAGTCGTTATTGAGATCCCATGCGGGTAATTGGATTGCGGCGTATTGCTTTATATCCCTCCGGCATCCAACCGAGACTGTTTTTCTTCTTCTCTTTCCGGCGTGATTCAGACATTATGAGTACGTACGTAACGTAAGGCAGGTGAAAGGAACATAATCATGTAACGTGTGCGTGCTACAGTGCTGTTTGTGTGGTTTCTACAAGCGTGTGGGTTTTTGTCCGCTCATTATTTAATAGCAACATTTTAACCATCATCAGGGTGATTCAATGTAAGAGTTAATCATAATGTGATCACGCCTCTCCGGATGCTCGGCGTGTCCTTTATGAGGGCTTCAGTCGTGTGTGGGAGAGCTGTTAAAAACAGCTATATTTATCCACGTCACAAAAGCTCGGGACTTCCTACGGAATGGCTATATTTTTATCTGTCGTGCTGTATAATTATTATTTTTATAGTTATTTTTTGCAGAGTTAGATAAGAAGATCGAGGCCACTTTCTTATCTTCCTGTTCATTGTAACACTACAACCATAGAATCTATAAAAGACGGATGTAGCTGCTATTCATGGGTAGTAGTGGTGGTGAAGTGCCTCTGAAGCCTCGAGCTGAGCAATTCCTGTTGTTCTTATCTTAGTGTTTTCAAACCAGATGTGACGGCTGAGAGGCAGAACCAACCAAAAAATGAGTACAATGAGCATAGCCAATGAGCATACCCTTGATAATCCTCCTTTCTGACTCCAATAGTGACCACGAGCTACAAAATGAACTTTGTGTTTTATTTAATAACGCCTGAAATCAACAATTGAGCCCATTAAGTCATCAAGAAAGTATTTATGGAGGTCCCAGAACAAGGGAGCTTAGACTTCAATGCCTTACCTCACCCCCAACCGGTTGTGACAGATGGCTGCCCCTCTTTGAGCCTGGTTCTGCCAGAGATTTCTTCCTGTTAAATGGGAGTTTTTCCTTCCTGCTGTTGCCAAGTGCTTAATCTTAGGGGGTCGTTTGATTGTTGGGGATTTCTCTGTATTGTTGTCGGGTCTTTAACTTACAATATAAAGCACCTTGAGTTGAGTTGTTGAGATTTGGGGCTACAGAAGAATTGAACTGAGCTAAATTGAATTAAATATACAACCAGAATATCATGGGCCGGGCCTCTGACCCAGCACTCCAAGTTCATTATGTATTGTGTATTTCTGATACACAATACACACGGTCTGCCCCCGCAAACCGTGACACAGAAGTCTGTGTATTCTTCTTATAAAGAATACAGGATTTGTGTTAGCACAAAGCTCTCGACTACACTACAAAATGTTACATTTATTAAATATGGTCAAATGGAATATACTGCATTGGTACACATTCACTTTATATCAAACACATTTTCCTTATTAATTAAACATTTGAATAATTTGATTGTTTCTTCTGACTGGTCTCTGGGCCTATGTTACTGGGGCCTCAAATAAAAGCTAGTTGATAGTTAGCTTAACCCTCTCCTCCAGCTTTTTAATGGATTACACATTTAGTGAAGCTGAAAAATGCAAGAATCTTTTTTTTTTTACATAGCTTCTCTGTTTACAGCTGACGTGCTAAACACAGTGAACCAATTACACATTCATCTTATAGAAATGAGGCTGTCATTATTTAAATAGTCATAAATACTCAGTTGTGAAATCTGCGTAAGCGCACAGCAAAGGACAACAAACGGGTTTGGATTTTGTATCTGTCAGATTACAGATAGATTTTGTGTTCAACTTACTAAACCAATTGAGCAGAATTACTTAAGAGAATATGAAAATAACCGGGGTGAGTTTTCATTTCTTTTCTGTCCTACACCCTGAAGCCGAGGGAGACTTAATCACCGATATGAGTGTACAGTTTCCCATTTAGCTCTGGACCTTTTTGCTTATCAGTAATTAAACGTTCCCCAGTTCCCCGTGGGCATCTTGAGTTCCTCTGATAAAGAACCATAATGCATTTGATAGTGAATGCACCGTTTGTGCACCTTCTCTGCCTTCAGCTGAAATGTTTTTGTGTGAAAATGCCACATATTCATTTCTGACATCCACATGTTAAAAAACAAAACAAAACAAAAAGCACGATTTCTCAAACTCTGCACTACGACCAGCTATGTGTAGTACCAGCCACTAATGCTGCTTGGGCTAGTGGCAATTGAGTCACCCATTACTGGGACAAATGCTTGTTTTCTTTTTCAAACCTACCTCTGAGCCCCAAGGACACAGCATGCATGCCGTGACCTCATTACTGCTCATGCGGTTGTGAAAAAGTTGTAAAAACTTTGTGCACAGAAGAAAAAAAGAAGTTTGCAATAGCAGATTTAAACAAATACTCTTCCACAAACATAAATAACAAAATTTGCAGAGTGGAGCTTTGGAATGTCTGTTTTTAATGGAGCTCCATGTATCTTACTTTATTATATTGCAGCGGAGCATTTGTCTTAGTTCCTGCTACAGTGCAGTGGGCAGTGTGTAGCTGGAAATTTAGGAAGAGCCTTTGTGATGAGTCAGACGTATAGATCCGGTCATGCAGGTGAGCATTATGTGGATGAGTAGGTGTGTGTGTGTTGTGAATTAATCTGCGAGCACGGCTTTTCTCTCTTGTGCATGTGTGGGTGTGTTGCAGGACGATGTGTTTTTGACAGCGAGTGCCAATACTGACGTATTTGTTTGGAAGCTATTCTGAGCCGACGTTCATTATCTTGAAATATGACCACTGTCAAAGCAGAAAACAACAACAACATAAGAACAAAAGCAGGAAGGCTTTTTCCTTCTGTTCAGTATATCTTGAAAAGTTTGGCTCCCAGACTAATGAAGTTACTCCAGACGTTAGCTAATAGTCAATAAAAGGCCATTATTTGCATGATATATTGCAGTCATCTCTGCATTAATGGGATCTTCACAATTTACATTTTTGACTTTGAATGTCAAAAAGTTCAAGAAGCGTACAGTCGGCCTTGTCAGCTAGCATTTCCTTCACCTATCTTTCCCCCCGTGACCCTGTGACACTATTGACTGAATCGTTGATGAGGATGCTGAGGAGGTGAAATCCGGCACCGTCATGATAAGATCAGAGCCCCTCCGTGACAGCTCAGCCACTCCCATCCTGTGTGGACAGCATCCAGGCCCGGCCGTGTCGCATCAGAGCTTCATGCACAGTTATCTCTGTGGACAGAATAAAATAATAACCAAACAATGTTTATTTAGATGGTGCTTTTTACAAGCAAAAACTGCAAAGTGCTTTATAGACAATAATCGAATTTTAAATTTAAAAAAAAGAGATCAACTACAAATACTGCACATTTATTAAAATATGGTTAAGAGCACTGTGAGGGTCAAAAGGTTTAATGTAAAAAAGCACAAAAGCAGAAATGGAACGAAGCCGGTTGCTAAAATAGCAACGAGTGTTCAGCTGACGCAGGTCGGTCACTGCGACCTCAGCAGCTCAAACACCGCCTGTTCTTAGTGAGATTATGTTTAACAAAAAATAATTTCAGATAAAAAATGTTACAAGGAAAGTGTGAAGAACTAAAAGATTAACAAAGTAAAATGACAATTACAGAACCTGAACTGTATTTTTTTTTTTCAAATCCTGTAGATGTTTTTTCATCTGTCTTAAATTAAAACTTTTTCGATATGGTTTTGATGTTTTCTTGATGAAACATTCTTTGAAAAAGGTTGTCAGCTTTGTTTTTTTTAACAACCCATGTGAAAAAGACAGCTTTTTATTTAAAAACCTAAAACTATCACATATCATAATAATAATAATACTAATTAGGCCGTTTATACTGCACAATAATTAAAACATGCTTAAGAGCAGTACAAGACAAAGTTTAGACGTCACAGAAGCAGAACTGTCACAAACCCGGGTACAGAATTACCCGAGTCCTAGCTGGCACAGGTTGATCAGCAGCTCAATCGCCGTCTGTTCTTGGGAACAGTGGGATTGTGTTTAACAAACAGTTACAAACAATTTTACAGAACCTGAGACTGCACTGTATTTTGACAAAATGAAATCAACTCAAATTTTATTTTATTACGTTTAGTCCTGTAGAAGTTACTTTTTTTTAAATGCTGTGATGCTTTCTTATAATTTGTTTTTCAGCAGTTTGTCGGCTTTTAAAAAGAAAAGTGAAAATTGCATATTTTTATAAGACAAAAATTTGCACTTAAAATATATATTTTTTATTTAATCAAAGAAAACCCCTAACTCTGATGCATTTTTTTATATGTTAGGTTTTTTTTGCTCTTTTGCTGTTAATGCCTTAACACACACACACACACATATATATGTATATGTATATATATATGTATATATATGTGTGTGTGTGTATATATATATATATATATATATATATATGTATATATATATATATAGAGATATTTATATATATATATATATGTGTATATGTATATATATATGAAATGCACTATTGGTTAAGAAGTGATACTGTACATTGAGCCCAAACTAGTACAACTGCACAATACTATTTTGCCTTTATTTACTTTTGAAAGAATGTGATCTCCTAAGCTTTCCAGTGCACAGAACAAACCCTTTATATTTATAAATCTGATGAGTGTTCAGCAAGATCATTTTAAAAGTTAAGTTTTGATCTGTAACAGGCAAAAAAAAAAAGATAGAAATCCTCCCTGTAGCTTAACTGTTTTTGAACTCACTGAAACCCGAACACGTTAGAAAGAACTCTGTGCCAGCATCTAAAGCTGGATGCTTTTATAAATCCTACAAATGTTAAGGAATACTGTCTTTATACAGTTTGTTCAGCGAAAACATGGAAAATGGGCATCGATCTGTTTCCATGGCAAATTACCACCTTGTCGCTGATGGTACAAAAATCAGTCACGCTAACAGCTTATTCACAGGCTTTCTCTAATACAAAAAGCAGCTTTTCTTTTGGATTTTTTTTTTGTCTGAAGTTGGAGTGAAAAATCCACAATGAATGCAACACAGGTTGCTTGTTCTAAAGAGACAAAAGAAAGCAGGGAAGTTTTGGTGTCATTAGAAGTTGTGTATTTTTTCTCTTCACAAGTCGATATACACAGTCGGCAAAGAGGTTTATGGAAGTAAATAAAATGGAAACCATTTTTATTTTAAAACGTTCATGCCATTGAAGGAAAATTTGAGGAGATAATTTTCAAAGCTCAGTTTCCATTTACCGAGGGTGACTTTTGCTTTTATAACACCCAATTTATTTTCTTCAAGGGGTGCACAGCATGTGAGTCGCCACTTACTTTAATGGTAGAAACTGAATTTAAAAAAAAACAACAAAAAAAACAAAAGAAAACAAAGCGACCAGTGCGTAGAAGCACATGAATATACTCCCTAAGTGAGCATTAGTTCTACCCTTGGCAGGAAACGCAGCACAAGATCAAGTGTTCTGTTCCTGCAGATTTCTAGTTTAAGTTAATTTGAGCTCAGGGAATCCAGTGTAATTAAGTTCTGGGATTAATATGTGGAAATGTATTTGGTTTTGTATCCTTCCCTCTTAAGCATGAGAGTGAAATAACAGAAGAGACTAGCACAAATAAAAAAAGGGGAAAAAAATCAAAGCAATCCCAAACTCCCTGATGCAATTATTTCCTTTTCACATTATTATTATTTTTTTTTTCTGGACGATGACATTAATGACTTTGAGGGAGAGGGATGAATCGGGGCTCCGTTTGGCACCAGTGGAGGGAATCAGATAGGTAAAAATATTGCTCCGCCTCAGCCTACTGTGCAGTTGTTTGAGATTTTCAAAAATGAATTCAAATGATTACTTTGTTTAATTGCTTTCTTTTAATATTTGTCATTCGAGGGAGATTTAGACAATACTCAGATCAAAATCCTCACGCCCAGCCGAGATGCTACAAAAAGGAATTTCAGGCTATGCTGTGCGCCGCATAAAGTACTGATAAAGATCTTCATACCAATTATGCTCTTCTGTCATCTCAGATGCTCCTCTTGAGATCCCCCAAAGTCAAAAATTCATCTTTGCGTGTACTTCCCGTTTGACTTTCAGAAACTCCACTCTCGGATCATGGATCTGTCTGCAGCAGATTTGCTCCTGGAGCCAGAAAGAAGCAAGGCTTTCCTACTTTCCAGGAATACAGACTCCCCCTCTAATGTAAGCCTAATGGGAAACATTAAATGTACTTTTTTCCCCCTACCCATATAACTCATCCAAGTGTTGCAGCACAACTATACCCCCATCTCCCATCAAGAAATCATTCCAAGATATTAAAATACAGATCTAAAATCCAAAGCCGTGACCCCTCCTGTGCTCTCAGCAGGAAAAGCCAGCAGTATCACTTGGCACTAAGAGGAATATATCCTTGTCATATTACCAGAAAACCATCGATTGAGACTCGTCTTCAGTAAAAAATGACTCCACAGGACACTCTGGAACATTAATCATCTTATATATTATGCATTAAGGCCCGAAAATGAGTTTGCTCCATTTCCTTTGCCCTTTTACCCCTCTGAGGATGCCACCTGATAAACCCTAATGCGTGCCATCGGAGCAGAAAAAGAAAATGAAATAATAATGGCCAAAAAGCGAATTATGAATCATCTTGTAATCAGGATGAGCAAAACGTCTACATATCCTTAAATAAGTCGTGTTAAGTGACACGCACACGAATGTGAGAGTAGAGAATTGAAACCTGTGCCATGGATGTATCGGATTCCTCATCTTAAACTCCACTGTCATTGTTAGATTGTCTGCAGGGAAATGCTAATTGGACAAACATCTGCCGCGGTGTGGTGACTGCACACGAAAGATGATTGATATAGGTATTTCTTTAAGTTTAAAAAGTGCAGTACATCGACAATTTAGTCGACTTTTCTGTGATATTTGATTGGGTGTGTCACGTTTTTCTTCAATACCGTTCATCACAAAATCAACAGCATGATGGCAATTAGATATGCAGCAGTACCCAACACATACACACGTTTGATGTTTAGTCGGACTAAAGGAAAGCTTATGTAACTCACAAACATTGTTAAGTGGCCATGTAAGTGACTCCATCTTAATGCTATGTCGCCTCTTTTCTGTGTCATAGGAGGTTCAGTTGAATGGAAAGGCAGGTCTCCCTGTGGCCAAATGTCTGAGCCAGCTGAGCCTGACAGTGCCAGCGCCCGTGTACCCACGCAGCAGCTGTAGCAGCAGTGAGCTGTCGCTGTCGAGCGCGTGCAGTGAATTCTCCAGCGGCTCGTACACCTGGAATGATGGACGCTCCTGTGGGAAAATGGTAAACCACCTCGCTCATCAGGCTCATTAGGGGTGCTTTAGTCTTTATTTCGAGACCTTAATTAATCCCAAAACCTTCATGCCTGAGTTTGCTGATTATGTTTCCAATTGGAGTTTAAAGCTTCTGAGAAAATGTGGGATTTCATATTTAAAGACAGTCCTGCACCATCCTAATTCCAAGCATTTAAAATATGTGGTGGAATAAAAATAGCTTGCACACAAAAGCCAACATTATGATTTGCTTTTCTCAGTTCTATTGCTTTACGTACTAAAGAATATGTGTTCTTACTACAGAGAGACTGACTCTGCCTCCTTTCTCTTTCCCATTTAGTCGTCTCTGACGTGGGAGAAGAGGCTGAGTTTGGGTTCGTCAGCCCCTAGTAATATCTGTGCTGCTCAGGAGGAGCACCTCCCCACAAGACGTAAGGAGAGCCACATACTGGAAGGACTGAGAAAGCTCCAAAGGAGGAAACACAGGAGCTCCTCCTGTTCCTCCAAGGTCTCCAAGTCAGGCTACAAAGACTGCATGAACTCCAATGAGGGAATCTACTCACTGGGCATCAAGAGTAGCAGTAAAGGGGTGTCTAGGCCTACCCATGTGGGGAGAACTGCTCGGGGAAAGCAGTTCGCTTATGATTCTGATGATGCAGATGATGAACTGGCACATTCTAGTTGTAGAGATAACATTCCCACCAAGGACAACTGGTTTCACTGTAAGAAGCTCTCACACAGCATCTCAGACAGTTTATGTAGCTGGGAGGGAACGCAAGACAGCGGAGGTGACACTATCTCAAGTCCTGTGGCTACTAAACACCCTTCTGGGTATGACTCAAAGGAGCAGCCTGAAAGACTCATGAGTTTTATTAACAGCCTTCTCCCTGAAGGAGGGCGGATATCAGCTTTTACGAGACCATCGAAGCTGCACCTCACCCCTACTGAACCAGAAGTTCCCCGTCTGTCTGATGCGGATGATCTGGAGGAGTTAAAGTCTGAGTCAAGTGACATTCGAATGTCCTTTAGCCAGCCACCAGAGCAAGCCGAGAGGGACTCGAAGAGGTTGTCAAGAGATGCTGCCAAGCTGATTACACAGCAGTGCTTGCGGAGAGACCAGGTTCGTACCCAGTCTGCAGATGGAAGACCCAGGCCTTTCAGCCTGATTAAGGAGCCCAAAGTGACCAAATGCACCCAATCTGAGGAGAGCGTGTTGACAATATTTGATGCAGAAGGAGAGCCTATTGAATTTTGTGCAGAGAAACTTGCAGCAGCTGCTGGGACTCAAAAAGACATTCAGGGTAGCAAAGTAGTTCCTGACTACACAGAACTGGTGCCCCAAGAGAGGCCAACAAAGCAGAAACCCTCAAAATCAAGAAACTACAGTGTTCTTGAGTCTCCAGAGAAGCCGTCTGAATATCAGATCAGGACCCACAAGCCAAGGGAGCAAAGCAGTAGCAGGGAGGGAAGTGCAGAGAGGCTATCAATGCAGCTGACTCCACAACGGAAACTTATCAAACCACCAAGCAACCGAGCTAGTAAAGGCCATTCCATCCCTCCCATGAATGATGCTGCTGGTTCCAAGTCCAGTAGTTCAAAGATACCTGGTAGTAATAAACCTTCAGGGTCCCCACTGAGATTATCTAAGAGTTCTGCCACTGAACCAAGTAACAGCAGGAACTCAGGACCCCCTGGGCAGGAGAAATCCCCCTCCTCTCCGACAGTTAAAATGTCCAGATTCATCAAGACACCAGGAACCTGTATTCAAAGCTCAAAAGCGGTGAACTCAAAGCTCCCCAGCAGGGCCGAATGGAATAAGGGCGCCTCATCGAGTTCCCCTCACCTCTCAAGGAGACACCTGGAGTATGCTGACAATGGCGAACAGCCAACCAGAGACAAACACTGTGAAAACAGCAAAAATAAACTCAGGTCCCCCTCTCCTCCCCCTCCCCCGGGCCGCACCACCTCTTTACTGATCAGACCAAATTACGAGGGGTCGCCAACCACTGTGAGGGGTCCACCCCCAAGTTACCACACCTCACTTTTACCAAATATGCAATCAACGCTACCCATCAAGGATAAAGACTGTTTAGACTTGGATGCAGGCTACGGGACTGCACTTGCACCTCAGAAACTGGTTGACAAAACCAGTCAGCACCTTCAAAAGTCCCCTGCCATGACTAAGACACCTGCTAAAGGCGATTTCAAGCGGATGACCACAAAAGACTACCTCCCTTCTGCAAACTCAGGGTGTGCTCGAGAACCTGAAACCGCACCTAAAACCTCGAAGAATGTCCCTCCTCCCTACAGTGCCCTCAGAGGGTCCTCATTTCAGAACTCACCTGCAAGCAAAAAAGGATCTGCTAATAAAAATGTCCATCAGTCAGTGCAGAAGACCTCTATTAGTTTACCTGTTTCACTTCAGGACACACCTCAAGGTCAGGCAGAGCCACAAACTGGCAAAGCTTTAGACAGCTCTATTATTATGTCCCCTAACCTAGCAGAAAAAGCCTCAAAGACTCGCATCCCAATGGGCTTTAAGGCATTTTTAAAGTCTCCTCCTAGCCATAAAAATAGTCCCTCTATACCAGGCAAACAAGAGAAAGATCATATCAACTCAGTCTCCAAGGAGACTGTGACTTCAAATGCTTCTGCCCAGTGTGACAACTTGCAGACAGAGTACAATATTGATTCACCAACCAAGATGTCTGTTACAGAGGGGAAAGGTGAAGTCCAGTGTAGGTTACTGGAAGAAGAATTACAAGCTCTTGTGGTGCCAGAGGAAGGGGGTGTTTGTGATAATGGGAAAAGGAGTAGTCAGCTTTTTGGCAGATCCATATCTATTGCTGCCAAACCTCATTTAAAGCCAGCGTTAGGGATGAACGGGGCAAAAGCTCGTAGCCAGAGTTTCAGCACCAACTACATTGAAAAACCAAGCATCAATTGCTTAGATGGGCCGGGAAAAATCAGAACTCAGATCATTACCAACTCAGGTGAAAGGGGTAACTCTCTGTCGAGACAGAGTTCCTTAGAAGCGACCTGTGCTGGGTTAGCAGAGAGCCCTGTTCATTCCCCAAGGACAAGACTTAGCCACTATGGAGGCATGACAGGGTCAAATAGTCACGGCATCCTCCCTGAGAGAGCTTTCAAATCGGGTTCTAAAGTTGAGGGGTCACAGGGCATAGGGAAGGGGGAGGCAGTCATGTCACCTTCTCACAAAGTGGTTCGTAGTTTACCCATCAGTGATAGGACTGGTTTAAACATCCGTAAGCCATCGAAGGTTGCCTCTCATCCACAGTTTCATCCTCCGTCCTCTTGTGTCTACGGCTTGGAAAATCCAGTTAGAGAGACAGAAGACAAAGCAGCATTCCCTAATGAGCCAGACTTCAGCAGGGAAGTCAAAACCCAGGCAGACTCCCCAAACAAACACCCAGATATGGAGGAGAAAAAAATCAGCCCAACAGTCACCACTATTGAAGAGAAAGTCATGATGGGAATTAAGGAGAACGTGCAGAAATGTCAAGAACAGGAGAAGGTTGCTGCCACCGAGGCCAAACAGAAGACAGGTCCCTCTCTGGCAAACTGGTTCGGCCTCCGTAAGAGCAAACTTCCAGCTCTGAGTAGTAAAAAAGCCGACTCTCCCAAGGGAAAAGAAGAGAAGAAAGAGCTGAAGATCGGATCAGTTCTTGGAGGCAAACAGATGAAGTCTGACAAGAAGAAGGATAAGAAGAAAAATGATAATCAGCAGAAAGAAAGCCAGGAGGTGCAGGGTCTGTCTGAGATGAACAACAAGCTTAGCTCCATTATGGACCACTGCAATAATCAGATGGGTCAGATTGCCAGTCAGATCCAGTGCACGACGGCCTTTATTGGAAAAGACCAGTTCGTGAAAGAGCTTCTTGGCAGGTGAGTTAGCAACACCTTTGTCATTAAGAAAATCAAGTATTATTATCCTAATTGATCGGATGCTGTGCTGATTATTTCCTGTCACTGAGCTTTCTCAGAGATGCCTTCCTACCAAGTGAATCAACGATTCAGAATCAAAGTAGTAGCTCTATTACATTAAACATGAACAATCCCTACATTAAGCTTGTGTGTTTAGAGAAACACAAACAGCAGCTGTCTGTTTGAGGTGTGACTCTTCACTAGAGAGTATAAACAGTTTGCGGATCAGACACATAGTCAGCAACACTCAGGATTATTGTATGTTTAAGCCACAGTCATCTACTCTCTTTGCTCATTTTCCTCTTCAAAAACCCAGCTGACAGATTTTTATCCTTCAAACACTTGTGAGGTACCACTTCATGCAGGTTGTTAACCGTGCGATGACATTTCCATGTGTGTCTGTGTGCGTGTACACATGTGTTTACCTGTGCGTTCATGAAGCGAAAGAGTGGGTCAACGCAATTTATCAGCAGTCTCGCTTTCTACCTGGCGAGTTGATAAAGGAAGTACTCGGCACACAGACATGAAAAACAGATCAAATCTTATTTCCTGACAGGACCGCTGTGAAGGGCAACTCCGTGGCCACATCGCCGCCTGGGATCTCCACGCCCAAGAAACACAGCGAAACGAAGGGAGATATGGAAATCTGTTCAGATACTGCTGTAAGTGGATAAACATGCACTGCAGACTTTGTTACAGTTTTTGGGGCAAGCTTGTTTGCAGTGCACGCATACGTGCAAAATTCCCATAGGTTTGCACACTTGTACAGTATGAACATGTTCACAAACAGATCCACAACACCTCTGCCTCTTCACCATCACATCCCCTGAAGGCTCAATATTGATTCGCATTGTGTTCTGACTCAGCCTACAATTCATCGCCTACGTTTTTTATCATCAAACCCAATCCTGTGTTGTTGTTGTCTCCACAAAGCTGAAGGTTTTTAAGCTATATCTCGCATAGAGGCAGCCATCAGGCTGTGGATGTAGTACAGACTTAAATTAGGCTCCTATCAGCTGTTAGATTTTGTAAATCATATCAGTGCACTTTGTAAGCAAAATGCTAAAATCATGACCTTGTGGGTTTATTCTTTATTACCTGTCAGTCAAAATGCCAAAATATGACGGAGAGCCTGAGAGCTTGAGAGCTTGAGAGCGACTGAAAGAAGGGAGACAGCAATAATAAAAGGAACTGAAAGGAGCAGTCTGAACAGGGGGAAAGAATGACAGTCTCACCGCATAATGTAGGAAATTTAATCCAGATGATGTGAAATTTTGATAACATGGAGGAGCCCCTTATCGCAGGCACTCAATTTGACAAAAGAGCCATTTAATACCATCCTCCAAGCTTTCCGTCTATCTTCTCCCCACAGAAATACAACAAAAGAGCCACACTTTATGACCTACAAGCTTCTTTTACACCACCCCCAAAACCACATTTTTAAAATAACCTAATTAAAGTATGGCAGAAAGTCTGTGACAATTACCTTACTTCTTTCTGAACAAAACTTTCAACACATTTCACAAAGCCAGAAGCTTGTCCAGTCCTCTGGAAAGTCATATAGTACGTGAATCGGTTTAACCGATCCTTTTCATCCACAATTTTCTTTTGCACATTACCTAAAAGAAAGCCTTTTAAATTGATAAATGTTAACAGCTTATACAAACAAAGCTGCATTTATACTGTCTAATATATCCAGAAGGTATCCTGGGGTATGTGGACAGCTTATCTCAACTCATCTAAAAGAAGAAAATAATTAATTGATTAGCAATAGAAATGTAACTATAAACATGTATAGGGATTTGGATTGCGTAAGTAATAAAAAATTGAGATAAGACATGTCAAAATACCTGGATAAATGTTGGCATAAGCAAGAGAAATTTTTTGCAGGAAAGTCACAGTAGCTCGCTAAAATTAGGGTTAAAAAGGGAGAAATTATGACCTAACAGCGTAAAAATTTAGATGAAGAAATGAAAGAGCAATAAAACTTGCACCATCTAGCTAAAACTAGCTTAAACCATTACACAAGCTAGCTAAAAATATGAATCAAACATTTAATGTATTACTATCAGTTTGAATTGTTAGCTAAAAATGTATTTAAAATACTTTTTTACATGTAGAAAATATAGAAAAACGTGTGAAATAGTTATGAATACTAAGTTTAACATACTGGTTGAAATTGTTAAATAATTATAATAGATAGACAGTTGAAATGACTTGCTTAAATGATGTGGAAAAAGCAGAGCGTTAATAATTACTGGTTTAGCTAGCAGTTAAAAACAGTTTCTGCTAAATATGGTTGAACAAATTAGTAAACAATGTTAAATATTTTAGCTTAAAGTATTAAATGCCAGATGAAATTATTAGCAAAATAAGAATAGATGAACAAGCTGTCAGTAATCTAATAGTTGGGATATTTCACTAATGCTACAGTTGTACTAGTCATACGATACTAAAATTATTCAAAGCACGGGCTTTCACTGTTATTTCAAAGTTGGGGACCACTCCCAGTAAATGTATGCCAATCTGTCTGAGAGTGATTGCAGGCAATCTGAGCTAGACTAGGATTGTTTGGAGAGCGGTTGCTGCAACGTCTTGCAATCAGTTGACCAATGTGAAAAAATTCAGGGCAGTTACTGAGCAACCACTGATTTTCTCTGTTCAAGCAAGAAGGTTTCTGTCCTATTTGTACTGTGGTGTGACTGAATTTAATTGCTATGATTGGTTACTAAGCTGAAAGTGTTTACAGTTTAAAATAATTTTCAAATAAACGTGTTTGAACTTGAAAAGTGGGGATGGTGAAGGTGTTCTCAGGTCTATCTGACAAACCATTAAGGGTGTGTCAGAAAAAAGGTTTAAAATCTTTGCTTTACGTCATAACTTTGTCACTAACATGGAGTTTGTTCATTTTCTAGACCCTCATAATGACAGAGAAGATCAACCTAAAGGCTGAAAATGTAGAGGGACACATCCCAGACGCAGCTTGTCAAGACCACATGTTAGGTGAGTCTGTGAGTTACTTTTCAGCTTTCGCTAAAGGCAGTTTAAATGAACAATATCTTTCCTCTTCTCTGATTTGAGTTGTTACTTTGCCTAAACTTCACGTCTTCTCTTCTCTGGGTTTCATACTCTATCTGCAAGTGTTTATCTCACTGAGTACAGGTTTTCATTTGGCTTAAACCTGTCAAAAATCAACCGGTGCAACAAAGCATTAACACATTTTTACAGTTGCGATTTCCTGATGTGACTGACAACTCAATTTCGTCGCCAAATGATTCCCCTCACTGCCAGACTCACCATTACTGTGGGGAAATAGCAGCAGTTGCAAACGGCACGTTGACAGTCTGTTCAGGTGATTGACATGCAGCCGGGTGATGTTTCACAATGCCTGAGCAGCTAAAGAAGTGAAAAAATAAATGCATCAAACAATTGTGAGATGAGATGATGACTGTTATTATGTTATTACTGCAGAGCGACAAACTTACATTGTAGATTGTAGCTTGGTGAGGGGAAGGAGGGGGTGTAGGTGCTGTTTACTGGATGTGGATTGCACCGTGTTCGTTACTCGGCTGTCACTCACCGGGTTATTGACAAATTGTTTCACAGATTCATCTCAAAGTACATAATGGCATGCTTCTTGAAATGTAGCTCTATTGCAGGTGTGAATTTAGATTTGCTGATAGCAGGGTAGCGATTTTGTTTTTTCTCTTAGTTTTATTAAAATAAATTAGATGGGTTATAACCCCAGCCAGTTTGTTTCGGAGGGAAAAGAGGGGTGTGCAGATAAGTCTGAATCATTATTTTATTTGTTCCTTCATTGCCAAAACTTGGGAGAACACTAAAAATGTAAATAAAATAGCATATTCTGATGGCAAATGGTTAGGATGGCTGTACTGTCAAACCATTTCGTGCCCTAATAGCTGTTGTGCTTTATATGTGCTATAACTGCAAGAGAGAAGAAATCGAAAATAATAAAAGATGTGAGTGAAGTACAGGTAAGAACAGTATCGCAAATAAAACTTCAAATAAAATAAATAGTATATTCTAAAATCTCAGAAACGCTACAGGGAGCTGAAAACCATTAAAAATGTGTCCTTCTTAGAAGCCGAGTTGGAGCTGCCACTTAGAGCAGCTGTCTGAGGAAGCAAAAGACCCGAGGGCCAACCTGTACATGCATGTTAAAAATAGAATTGCAGGACAGCGTGTACAGCATGTAAAAGAGGTCACTTAAGGTGATGAAATTCCTGACTCTGTGATTCCTTTTAGACAGGGCAAAGCCCTATGGGTACTTTTTTTCAAGCATGTAACTTTAGCATTTTTGTGTGATTTTCAGCTGTGATAGGTAGGAGTTTTCAGAGAATGAAAACCTCCAAAAACCAGACACAGCTGGTGAACATACACTGACCGGACACTTTGTTAGCTACCCACAGCTACCCACTCCAACTTCAAAACTGTTTCAATTTTTCATGGCACAGATTCAACGAGGTGCAACATTCCTCAGACTTTTCTGCCCATATTGACATGATAGCGTCACATAGTTTCTGCAGATTTGTCAGCTTGCACATCCATGATGTGAATGGGCTTTAGTTGCTTAAGCTCTGGCGACTGTGGTAATCTTTTGAGTACAGTGAACTTTTTGTCATGTTCAAGAAACCAGTGTTATTTGAGTTTTGTAACAAGGCACCAACAACAACTATGCCATGTTTAAAGACACACCTTACTTTACCATTGTGATGCTCCTGAAAGGATAAGAATCTTTGATTGCTGCTGCTAGCACAGACAGCTTAAATAAATAAGCCACAATGTACCGGCTTTTATGAAAGTTGGCTCGCCAACGACTGCTCAGAGTGGTGGCTTTGTAAATTCTAGTATTGGGTTAGACCCCCTTTTGTCTTCTGATCAGTCTTAATTCTTCATGGCATAGATTCAACAAGTTGAGATTATCTGAGTTTTGTGACACAGTGTGTTATCCTGCAGTCATCAGAAGATAGGTGCACTGTGGTTTTAAAAGGATGGACACGTTCAAGCTCAGTTGGTACTTAGAGCCCAAAGTTTTCCATTTTGTTTACACCAAATTCTGAATGGCGTGGCACAAATCGAGACTGATCAGACAACAAAACATCCAATAATCTGTTGTCTTGTTTTGGTGAGCCTGTGTGAATTGTAGTCCCAGTTTCCTGCTCTTAGCTGACAGGAGCAGCACCCACTGTGGTCTTCTGCTGCTGTTGAGATGCTCTTCTGCATACCTTGGTCATAATGATTGGTTATTGTACTTCCTGTTGCTTTCCTATTAGCTGAATATGGTCTGGCTATTCTCCTCTGACCTCTGGCATCAACATGCTGTTTTTACCCAGAGAACTGCCAAACACGGGATATTTTCTATTTTTCCCTGTAAACTCTAGAAACGTCTATGTTTTTGAAATACTCAGACCAACAACCATGCCACATTCAAAGTCACTTAACTCGGCTTTCTTCCTTATTCTGATGCTCAGTTTGAAGTTTAGCGGGTCGTCTTGATCATGTCTACATATCTAAATGCACTGAGTTGTTGCGTTACTTATTAGATTAGATATTTGCATTAATTAGCAATTGAACAGGTGTACCTAACAAAGTGGCCAGGGACTGTAGTTAAGAACTTAGGTGCTAAAGAGTCAGAAAGTTGGTGGAGATCAAAACGGAGCAAAAACAACTGAATATTCAAAGGTTTACTAACAATAGCTATAAAGTCTTAGTCTCCAAATGTAATATATTTTAACTAGATGGAAAAGCTGGCCATTGTTCTCTGGGGTTGCATCTTAATTAGTCCTGTTTGTATGCAAAACATGCATGCTGGTGACAGTGAAAAATCTATACATCTGCCAGTTCTCACAATTAAAATAAATGTGTTTGTTAAGGCTGAGTGCAGATGGAAATAATCTCCACAGAAGCACAGAGTTGGCAGATTGAGCTGCGAAGCTACTAATCAATCACAAAATACTTTTGGCTTGAGCCACTAATAATGGGTCTGAGCCATGTCACCAAAAATAAAAAAATGTTAATTGTTTCTGTATTCTGGTTAACAGGCTGCCTTCTTTACATTCTGCCAACTAAGCGCTTCCCGACAGCCTGAATTAAATATTTAATAAAGGTTCAGCTGTGGCTGCTCGTTGCTTTTCAGCACTGCTATAATGTCACGTCCCTCCAAAGTGCAGCATTCACAGGCTTTAATGCCAGGTAAACACATCAATCATATAAATAGTTTACATCCAGCCGGTTTATGATGCAAGCAGCTCGAGTTATGAATGTGGGCTTGGAGGTTCACTCTGGTCAGTTATTGTACTGTGCATTAGAAGAATTTCCCTCAAGGCAGGTATTTTTTTCCTCATAAAGGGACAATAAATAACGTTTTGACTGACCCGGAGCTCAAAATGACTCTAATACGTCTGCAGAGGTTTGATGGCACTGTTGATCAATACTAATAATTCAGCTATTACTTCACCAGGTGCTGATGTGTGTGCTGTTCAAAACTTACTTTGTAGACTTTTGTTTTTAGAAAATGGCGCTGCCTTTTTAAAACAAACAAGCACGAAAGTACAAAATAACAGAAAAAGACTGTATTCTTCAGCCAAAGAGGAATAATTTCAACTGGATGTTTGCTCCAGCAACAAAAGAGATAGTACACTCTGTTGTATTAATCCAGCCTTACAATTTCTGTTGTGTTTTTCTTCGTCGAATAAACCCATTTCCACACAGAGGAGGTATCAATAAGGCAACTCTCTCTGCTCAAACCCTGGAGGTTGTATACAGAAGTGATAGGGAGCTCATGAAAAACTAGATTATGTCCAGTCGTTGTTCCCTCTGGGTAGAATTACTGTGGACCTTGTTATAGTTTGGTTATAGAGGGCATTTTGAACTGCCAGGCTTGGCATTCAATTACACAGCCGTGTAATCTATGGCTCTCTCCGCCTTTCGCTCCCATATACAAGTAAACATCCATGTGCATACGGAGGCTATGACATGCACTGAGATCAGCATTTCTGTTTATTCCAGTACATGTAAGTGTCCTCGAGGGCCTGATAGCAGATACATTTGCAACTAACAGGCCATCTGTGCAATGAACATGGTGTATCTGTACTTGCACAACACTTATATAAGGACTCGTTTTCACAGTATGTTGTAAAATCTGCTTAAAGTTGGCGACATGCACCAATTTTTCTTCTCAAAAACTCGCTCAAATATTCCCCTACTTTGTGCATCTATTGGCAATGCTTTTAAATTTAGATAATGTACATTTAAGTAATGTATTTGGCTTCCTTGCTAGAAAAACATTCAAAGAGAAAATGAATAGATGGTATGAGCTTCACATCTAAGTGTAAATATTGTTTTCTGTTTTTCTTTCTAGCGGTAAACTAATTCTGAAGTATGCCCGATTAAGTACTTGCAAATTCTTTTTAAACTCACTGTGAAGCACGACAGCGCTGAAAGAAACCCTTTAAGCTTTAGTAACACTGAGAGGCAGAATCTGTAAATATCTACGCATTTCTGAGAGACTGAAGAAAAGAAAGCCTTCAGGTTCGCTTTAAGAGTTTTTAACAACCAATACTTGGAGATGCAGAACTGATGAAAAAGTCTTGAACTTCCACTGTTTTTCACTTCAGACAACTTTTTAGGAGGTTTACACTCCAGTATCTCCGATCATACTTCTCATCTTTCTTGTTTCCCAGAGAACCAGACTTGAGCAATAGTTCTCCAGACTTTCTGAAGGTCTTTCAAAGTGTTTCTTTAGACATTGGCTTCTTTTTCACTCACTGTCAGTCCAGAACTTGTTCCCAACCATTTTAAAAGGAATGGCTTTGTTTGTTAAGCCACTTAGCTCTGACCTATAAATTATTCAAGCATAAAAAGACTCCTAACTCAATGGATGAACCAGTTTTGTTTTTGTATATAACAGACACCTTAGTGAAGAGCCTATTTCAATTTTTAACTTTGTTATTAGCAGCCTGTCACAAAAACAATGTTTTTCCAATTTCTTAAGTACAATCTATGAAAAATACCAAAGATAACTGTACTAGTATGGTATTTTTGCACCAGGTGATTCCCAAAGAGATAATAAGTAAAAACTTGGTCATACCAAATTCCGACTTTCGAGCTCGTTAGAATTCTACAAATTTTGGTTTTGCTTTATATGCTGTATTTACATGTATGTTTACACATGCTTCATTAAATCACTATTTCCCATTTTCCTTGCAAAATAGAAAGAAGTGGGGGTGGCTCAAGGCTTTTCCCAGTGCTGTAAATTAATCTGAATCTTTTTGACCCAAGAATTACTTTGACGTACTTTTATCTCATTATGCAAAACTCTGGCAATGTTTAATATGAGCGTCCACCATTGGAGCAGTATACACAGCTGAAAACAAGAAAAGGAATAACAGGTCCCTGGTAAGAAAGCTAATTAATCCTCAGTGGTTTTCAGTGTAACTCAGCAAAAAGTTGCAAACCACTAATAATTAGCCGATGTAACTGTTGGCCATTACCGTTCACAGTTACAAGGGCCTGTGCTGTGCTGAATGGCCATCCATCTGTTCCAGCCTGAGTCAAGGCTCTGCAAACTGTGGTTTCTAAACGACATCCATCTGTTCCTACTCGCTGTCACATCGCCTGATTACAACCCAGCGTGCACTCTGATGAATCCAAGGAGCATGTCCTCGGGTTGCAGCTCAATCGTGTATTTAGTTCAGAATTGCTGGCAGCAGGTGTTTCTTGTGTACTGTGTACTATATGAGAACTGTGTGCCTCTCACCATTGTGATAACTACAAATGGGCATCAGAAAGGAGCTTCCAAAAAGTACTGTGTCAGTTTAAAATGTTTTGTTTTCTCTCTTTTTCCATTTACATTGTGTTTTGAACCTGCTACAGATTCCTTGTTTACACACAACCCTTTCCGCTGCATGTAAATCCAGGTCCTCCTTTTCTTTTCCTGTGTCGTTGTCTCCTGCTTCTCCCAGACGTCACACTCCTCTCCCTGTCACTTTAGGCTTCGGCTGTCAGATGAGAACCCTGGACAGTGGCATCGGCACCTTCCCTCTCCCCGATTCTGTCACCCGGGCCAGCGGTCGCCACATCCCTAAATCTGAATCCAGCCCCGAGGGGGTGACCGGCGGCTCCTCTGAGCTCGATCGGGAGCCTCCCTCTTCTCACCCTGACCCCTCACAACCTGATGTGAAAGTGCCTTCCCTTTCAAAACCCCACCCGCATGTCTCTATGAGCATGGGTCACTCCCTGTCTGACCCCACTGTGACCTGCAGCAACGACAACGCCCAGGACACCCAGAGCCGCCTGCCCAAATTAGCATCCTCAGGTAAGACCGGAATATTAACTGTAAACAAATGCCTCACAACATAGCCTTCTTTTTCCTGTTTGTAGACCCTTCATAGTATTGACCGGTCATTTTAAGTGGAATGGCAACCCGTTGAGTCGAGTTCCCTGTGGCATCGCAGACAAGTTGTACTCATTGGTGTAGAGTGAATCAGATTGACTGCAACATGATGGGAGTTTCATAAATTAGAAGCAGTTACTTACAAACTTTTGCTGAGAGCGATTGCAGTCAGCCAGAGCTGGTCTCGGATCGTTTGGAGACAGGTTGCCTTCCAATAAGCAACCTGTTTAATCGTCTTGTGATTGAAACTGTTTCCTTAGAAGTTGAGGGCATTGCACAATCAACCTCTGGGGAACCAATTGGTTGCTGCTAACTACTTGCATTCGGTCACCAAATGCAAAAGAAAAGAATCAATGCAAACACTGGGCACCCACCAATTTTTCCTAAATGGAATGAGGTTGTAGTCCTGAATGGAAATCTGTGGAAGATTTTTTTGAAACAGTAGAGATGGCGATTGCCCAAAAAGGCCAACTGTTTGCTTTGAAACAGTCAAAGTGGAGAATATACCCAGCTAATCGTGTTGTTACACTGACATGAGTGCATCGGTATTGGATTAAACACCTAACCAAAATATCAGCCAAGTAAATATGGCTGGCTAGTTTGTGAATCTCTTGGATGAATATTTGATTCATAGTTAATCTGCCTTTCAGGCCAAATGAAAAAATCCACTACAATGACAGCAGTTTCATTTCTGAAGATTTTCCTTTAATGTTTCAAGTGATGGTTGATGATTTTCTGCGGTATATGTACCTGCAGTCACCCTAGCTTGTGCATTCACTTGTGTAAGCATTACATTTACAACTTGCAGTGCTTCTTAAATCAAAGCAAAGGTGCCAGCCTCATTTATATCTTACAGATAATAGATGTCTGGCTTTATTAATCTAATATATCACTGATACTCATCAGTGCTTTGTACTGTTAGCTTTGTACAGCACTTTTTTTCTTTAAATTAACTTGAAGGTCATCAGAGCTGCCAGGATGTGGCACCACAATAGAAAGAACAGTGCTTTTCATTGTGCCTTTCAGGCTATTCATGTTTTCCATCGAGGTCACAGTGGAAATAAATTTAAATCCATGCCTGTAAACGTTACCGTTATCATGTTTGATGGACAAAAAGCCTAGGCTCGAAAGCCTCAGACAGTTTATTTACCTTTCAGGAAGTTAAGTGAAGTATTGAATGTCACTGTACTTTATGTTAATGCATTTTTCTCCTGACTGCTCAAGGGCTCCTGAGGAGCAGACAAGAGGAAGCCGTTTGGTTTATTAAACTCTGATTAAAAGAAGAACCTTGTTTGTTCAGCTAATTCAGAGACTAATGCATCAACACTGACATCTGATACTCAGTTGAGATAGTAGAAAGCTATACACTCCCACTCCCCGAGGAAAACCAACAAATGCAATTAGATAGGCGCGTCACCGCAGCCATAGATCATAAAGCACCTTCTGCCTCAGCGTCGGCCATGATGCACGGCAGAACTGTGGAGGGTAGCATGCAATCAGATGGCTAATTAAAGCTACAATAACATGCAGGGATGAGCACTCACACCCGGAGATTTATGCTTACAAGACATTAGGCGGCATCTCGTTCACCCCAGTGCTGCGGTGTCACTGCAGAGGCAGGAATCTGAGGCAAAACTACAAACATAAAGTGGCTCCTGTTGAGTCTTCCCTGTGAAACAAGTTGATTAGGAAAGCCTTAACAGTAAGCTGTACGTCTTTATCACAGGTTTTACCTCTTTGTCCTTTCCTGCATCATTATAAAAAATTCAAAAACAGTAAAGGATACCTGAACAGACAGAACGTCTGTCACATTGTTTGTTTCGTAATGGGTGAGAGGAAGAAGGGGAAAGGACTTTTATGATCTCCATGCAGATTTCTCAGATGGAGACAGAACACGAGCCAAAAGCAGCCCGTTATTGTAATGCAGCTGAAAGAGAGGTTTCTGAATGCGAGACAATTAAACTGGCGTCTGACAGCACTGGGTAGAGTGATAATAAGACGGCCCGACGTCATTTGGGGACGACAGCTGAAAGCTGTTCTGTTGGCTGCCAGGAGTCGTGGATGGAGCAGTCACAGGGTGGACGCTGTTAATGTTTCATTCAGATATGCGAATGGGAAATGGGTTTGTAGTCAGCTGGATGAGTTTCGACTGAATGGATGTACAAGATGTATTCATCCCGTGGTTCATCAGCCTGTCAGCTAAAGGATAAATTACCACGAGAGTTACAGTGGTCTTTCCCTGCTCCACTCCCACGTCTATCTGCCCTACGTCCAAATATGTTGCAGTTTGTAGTTTATAAGTAAAAGTCCTTTTCGATTGTCGCTCTGAAGTATTTGACTGTTCCTCAAATGACTGTCGTGGTAGACTTCTGACTTGCTAGCTTTACAGCTGTTTCTCCTGTTTGTGCGGTAGCATCTAGCTGGCTAGCAAACCATTCCTTCTGTTTTGTTGCTGAATATCCTCTAGTTGAATTATTACCACTTTTTGGCAGCAGTGGCACATTATACCCTATCAGGCACATCGATTAGCACAGAAAATATATCCATTTTTAGAGATTGTTTGTTATAAACTTCCTGCCTCATTTCTCTTTTATATCCCTCGATTTCTAGATGCAATCCAGACAAAGAGGTTGAGTTTTTGTGCCCCACGCAGCAACATCTCAGGTTCCACTGAGGACAAAGAGACAGAAGCAGAGAGGAAGATGAAATCCAAGGACCATGATATGCTGGGCGTAAGTCGTTTACACTTAGTCTAAGTTGACATATTTGTGGTTCTTAAAGGGACTCGAGAGATACCCAGACACTGTCTCAAACTTTACACAGTTTCAAAGATGAAATTCTTTCATTAGCTGCAGAGTTGAAAATGGTCATTGCTTGTTTTTGAGTAATGAGGTAATAAAGTGGTGGCCACACACTAGCATTTTTCCCACTAATGTCACCAGGGAGGCTGTATACTTACCAACTGTTGAGGGTAACGTGTTGTGAAGGAGCTTCTTAGAAATATCTGTTTTTGTTGCAGTTAATTACTTTTGAATTAAGCAGTTACAGTTTTTTAATGCGTTTCTTCAGCGCTGCTAAGCTAGTGAGATGGCAGAAAAGACAGCCTTTTCTTCATGCAAGTATTCACTTTATTTTGAATATATAGTTGAAAGGAGACAATAACTGCATCACAGTGAAATGCAGTGTGCGTGTGTTGAGAAGAATAATGATGGCCGTGCTGCAGCTACACAGCATCAGTGCCTAGCTTTTAGGTCAGCTGAAACTGTCACTTCAAGGGGGATTAATTAGCTTGTTGCTGATTATGTAGTAGAGGAGAATACATTCAGATGTAGAAGTCCGGTAGGATATACTCCAATCTGACAACATAACCAACATGCACAAGCTAATTATTACCTTTATTTAACCAGTAAGTCCCATTGAGATCAAAGAAATCTGGCCAATATCTACAGCATGATGTGCAGTGTACAGATACTCACACAATCACTTCACTGGTTAAAGTGTGTTTAGAATCAGATGTTTCTGCAGTTAGTCCATGTCAAAGGTGCACAGGAAAAAAAATTAAAAGAAAAAGAGTAACCCAGAAGTACTGTAGACTTTACTCTCCTTAGCAGGTAAGATCACACAGGCCCAGAGACTGGTCTGCAACCTCGTGGCAACCTCCAGTCATGAGTGAAAAAATGCGTAGTCTCCTCACTTACGTTCCAGAAGGCTTTTTATTTAACAGTTAATAGTCTCTGTTTCTGGTTTGTGTCACGCTTTTCACAGTTTCACTGCCATTTAGCAAGTAGTTGAGAAGTGCAACTGCTGCAACCACTAGAGACCAAAGCAATCAAAAGGAGGTTACTCCCCAGGCACAGTAAACCTCTTTGCAACTAGTTTCACCTAGAAAGCAACTTTCAGCAGCCAATTGCCAACAAAGTTATTCTTGGTTGCCAGGGGGGTTGTCGACCAAACTCTAGACCTGTGTGACTGAGGTCTTATAGACCTGGGATGCAAATAGTGCTTTTCTAGGGTTACTGACCGCTCCAAGCACCTTTACACTACAAGACACATTCATATGCACTAACGTAGTGCCTTATTACATGCTGTTTAGGTGCTTTAGCACCACATCAGGGGCATTTATAGGGTTAGTATAGTTGCTAAGGGGACACTTTGACACTTTGGGATTGGGATCTATGGCTCCCAACCAGTCTCCAGGCCTTTGTGGCTCTGTAACATTACCGACTGTTTTATAATGTTGCAAATAACTTATAAAAGTAAGCTTTCTCAAAACTGTGGGTATCTACATATGAATAACTAAATTTGCTACTGAGCTAAAAAAAAGAGAGAAGCTTAAACACCACTTTGCTTTGCAAAAAGTTAACTTAGTCATGAGGGCTATATTTAAAGTTTTTTCCTGGTATCTTCTCTGTGCAAAAACCAGACTGCATAATAGCGCTCGTATGGCTTTGAAGGCGCGTTATGTCTCTGTTTTAAAATTACTTTTTTGTTGTCCGTGAATAGGAAAGAGCCTTGCGAGTGTGCACGTACTCAGGCAGCAGCAGCGACACTGAGACTGAACCCGAGGGGACGGGAAGCACTTTGGGCTCGCCGCAAAAGACCCTGATCAACAGAGCTAAGAGGAATGACTCAGGTGTGGTTGAAAGTTGTAGTCGCTGAATCTTTCATGAAGCTTCCTCAGTCGTTATCTTTTGTAGAAGTTGGATCAAGTTTAACAAAAAATGCCTTTTTTGTGAATCTGTTTCCTGCGTTTCTAGTTGAGCAGAATGAGGACACCCTGAAGAGAAGAAGTGTGGAAAAATCCTTGTCAATCATGGACTACTACCAACACGACATGTTCTCGCACCTGGAGAAGGACAGCAGGAAGATTTCGCAGTACAACCTGCTGCACAAGGAGTCGGCCCTTGATGGAAAAGCAGGAGACAGGCTCAGTGTGAGTATTCAAACTCCTCATTGTTTCCCCGCTAATCAGATTCATTCATTAACAGCTGTTTTACAGGCTTGCTGCCGATTTCCATCAAGCATTTTATTCGTGTTAAACCTTCCTGTCCAGGAAGCCGTCCAGTAGGTCACTTTCTAAGTGTTTAAATTTGGAGGGTGAATGTTCTGTATATTAATAGTTATTATTGATTGGTAGGCCTCAGAATACCATTAGAAAGAGAAAATGCACTACGCCCTGTGTTTGTTGTTCTAGGATAAATCAATTGGCTCTTAGCGTAGCCCAAAAAGAGGCACTTTAAAGTGTTAAAAGCCGTGCAGCTCCCAGATGTATGCTTCTTTATGCAGCATAAAGAGGATGAGTATTGAGTCACAAAAACGGCGCCTGACCTCAATGAAAGTCTTCCCAGGATGGAAGATGCATAATTTTGCTTTCCTTGCAGCAGAGGCAGAGGGAGGAAGAATAAATTGGACCGTTAGGATTCTCGTATGTCGCAAACTTCGGCAAGGAGATTCCTCAGATGGTCAGACTCCCGAAGCACAAGAGCTCTTTCAAAGTCACTAAAACTCCAAGGGTTTTTCTTTTTTCTTCCCGCTGGAGTTGTTTGCGCTCCCAAGGTTTTTCTCTTTGGCCGTTTGGAATCGTTTACAGATTTTCACGGAAAAAATCTGCCTAATTGCTTTCGATCGCCTCACCCTCTTGTGTCAGCGGGTATTTGCCTACAAGTATTTAACACTGCTGAATGACAAATTAGAATCAGAGACCATGAAATGGCCTGCAGCCTGCAATATGCCGGCTCCGTGGGACAAACTCTCTTACAGTGCGCCTGCCCCAGCAGCAGCAGCCCTGACATAAAAATCCATAATTTAAAAAAAAAAAGGCCTGAGTCAGCACGACTTTTTAAGAAAAACTATTGTCTATTAGAGATGGGGGAGAAAAATCTCAATTTATGGTGTGGGCTGGTTCTCGACCTCTGAAGTCATCTTGGAATTTAAAATGAGATCAGATCGAATCTATTTGTAATCATTTACACCCACAAATTAGAATAAATAAAGCATTTTTTTTTTTTGAATTTAGATCTCATTCCCACCATTAAACAGTCAAGTTTTGTTGTGCACATGCAGCCTCCATCTGAACCACGCTGCAGATTATTATGACAAATTGCGCTGGGTGTAGGTGATGCAGTGAGTCCAGGGTGATTCAGCAAGTAAACACACACCTGAGTGTCCTGAGAGCGGCACTCGAGCACAAATGAATCCCCCCTAAGCTCCGAGGTCAGTTTGCTGACTCTGCCAAGTCAAGCAAAAGCAGCGTTTCGATCAAGTATTACATTATTGTACAGAGGCCGAGTCACCATTTAACAAAGCAAAGTTCAGCGACTCCACTCGAACTACAAGCGAGGAAACAGGAAGAGAGACATTTCTGATTCTGATCCGAGTCCCGGTGGAGAGGCAAAGCATCGAACGGGAAGTTTTTGAAGTGGCGCTGTGCGGCCGAGCTGCAAGCACAGCTCCATTAGCCCACACGCAACGGACTCAAACAGGACAAGCAAGGCTGTTTTTGTCTCATCCTCAGACCTGCCTGTCATGTAATTGGATGCGCAAGGCTACGTTTCCCAGTTGAGCGTTGGCTTGCAACACTTACAGGGACTGCTGCAATAATGTGAGGTCAGAAGTTCAACCCCTGAAACACCCAAGAAGCACGCCTTGTCAGAGTGAAACCCGTGAAAACTTGCTGTCATAAAGCTGCTCAACTTTCTTTAAAAAGCTGCTTAGTATTGTTTCACAGCTGTGAGATTATATTAGTCTGTGGATGTGCCTAATTCTAATATTCACGTGTTTTTGAGCACGTACTTTAGGCCCAAAGCTGCAATGGCCCCAAATGCAGTTTATCAATAGGCCTACATTGTACAGTAATACAGCGATAATGAGTGTTAGCTGCTACCACTTGGGAGTAATGGCCTTGTGTGTCGTAGCGTTGGAGGTTTATGAACTGATCCAAGAGATTAAAGAAACAGCTTCCTCAATAATATATCAATGTTTAGCTGACACTGTCATGAGGAGTCATTTACTTGTAGACCACTTTGCAGGTTTCTAACTCTAATTTCAAGACACTTTGCTTTTGGTATGAAATGTGTCGTATTTTTCTGCTATTCGTATTATGGTAGTCATGTTTACTGCAAAAAGTTCAAATAAAGCAGCAACTTCCATGCATGAATAACAAAAACAACGACATTTCAGAAACTGCAGTTTCTCTACTGGCTCTGAAAATGACTCGTTCCCCATAGACTTCCAGTTTTACAGAAGAAATAAACAACTTTCCACCCAGCAGCTAAAAACTGTTTTTATGGTTTTAACCAATTTTCCCCCAATTTAAGAGCCTGGCTGCTTTCACTGGAAGGTGGGTGCCAACGCAAGTATCCACACCTGTCTGCTAGGCTAACCAAATAATGTGACGAATGATATCTGTTCCTGCTACCTTTAGCTTACATCTCAAGTCCCATTTCTCTCGAGGTAAAGCTGGTTGTTTGTTAATCCAAAGGTTAGTGGTTTGCATGTCAAACTGTCCTTGAGCGAGATACTGACCCCAAGC